TTCCAATTTTGCTTTAAATTTTATTCATGACTAATTTTTTCTCTTTTTACAGGAAGGTGACAAAGTTTAATACAGGATTATTTTTTATACTTTGGCATTTTTGAGACTCAAGCTGGCTTGCTGCCGAACAGGTTCATTCTTGAGAGAAAAAAATCAATCACCTGCTTAGTGGTTTGTTTATTTTCACTTCTTCCTTAATGGAAGGAAAAAACTTTATTGCGGTTGTGTTTTTTATCTCTCGTAAGCAAAAACTACTCACGTACTCATTATTCGTTTTCCTGGTGTGGAACACTGACTCGAATGGAATTGACACCCTATAGCAGAAATTAAGAAATCCGACGTCCTCTTTTAACATCGTCACGCCGAATTTTATGCTAAATTTGTTGCAAACTCCTGGCTTGAAGTATAGGATTATCCGCCTGTATACGTAATGCGCAAACCAGGCGAAAGTTTTGGCGGTTTCTGTCTTCTTCTGTCACTTGTTCAGCCTTACAGAGCAGACGGCAGCTCTTGGGGGAGGACAATCAAGAACAATTTCAGCGAGTTCGACGCTCTTCTGACGACAATAACGCTTTTGCTGGTCATAGCTGGATTGTTGTTATGTATGTGGTGTGCATTTTGCGGCCATCGCGACTATTTCGTTTCTATGGATCAAAGAAGACTTGTATTTCATCAGCAAGCTTTGGAAAGGGCCGCTTCGTTAGCGGGGAGGACCCATTCGTCAAGGCGGAAACAAAAGCATCGTGCGTACTTTAAAGGAACTTCACAACCAGTGCTTTCGATATAAAATTCACAAAAATGCATCAATTGTAATAATGAATTATCTCGTTTCTCGTGAATAGAAAGTTAACCGCAAAAAGGAAAAATACGTTAGCGCGCATTGACTGGTTTTCGTGAAATACATTATAAACTGCTACAATAGGGAGACACAATTCTCATCACCTTTACATGGCGAAAGGGTTTTCTGTTAACCAAACTGACATATTAATAATGGTGCTCGTCGTATAGTTCATCTATTTTCGTTTGGTTCGAAATTTTGTTGTTATTCATCAACATATACCACCACTGAGGCAATTTAGCGACGTAGAGGAAAATAATATAATTCTTATTATTGATTAGTATTTAGAAACTATTTTGTTTGATGTATTTGTGTAGTTGAACTGACACAAGTATAGGTAACGTTTATATTTGTCATATTTTGAAATCATCTTAGAGATGAAACAGCATAAACTCTGTTTATTAAAGTTAAAAGCTGTTAACTCATAAAATAATTATAACGTCTTGCTTAAAAATGCACAAGAGCTAAGTCTCACAATTTTAAAGCAATTTCATTATTAGCCAAAAAACGGTCCTTTTTTATCAAAACGTTAGCTTAAAAATAACTTTAACTATGTCAGCATTGCTTAACTATAGCACATGTGTTTTCCACTAAATTAGTTCTTCGTCGTTCGACTGGAATTTATTGGAAAAAGCAATCACACAGCGACAGCTGTTAACAACAATCACCTTTGCTGTACATCGGTCTTCATTTGGTCTTCTCTCCTGTAGACTCTTACAATATCATGCACTTTTCACTAATTGACAATATTTAACCGGTATCTTGACAAACAGAAAATAGGTGAAATAGCCCTTTCTTGATGTTGCTGCGATGTGGTGGCTTCCAGTTTACAGAAAATGAAACCATATCTATTTTGACGAGCCCTCACTGATGAGTTCGCGTTTTCCTTGCACGCATGTCAGCGAGAGCATCGAAGTTTCTAAACCTATACGAAGTGAAACTTCTGCTAAACATTATTGTCTACATTTTATCATTCTCTTTGAGCCATTTTACATGAAGATCCGGCCAATTCGCTGCAAAGGTATTGCCCCTTTGGCTTACAGAGGCTTCTGTTCAAAGATTATTAACCACAAGGGCGTGACACCAGAATGGAACACATGATCGATTTTCGCTAAAATCTCAAACCCTTTTCTCAGGCGCTTTTCGTTTATTCCGTCATTAAAGAAGCTTATAAGGGTTAAATGCTTCTAGTCACAATTATGACCATGTTTAGTGAAAACCGGTTTCTATGGTTTCAAAATTTAGAGTCACAAGAGCCATGGGGTTAATTAGGTAATATTATGATATCTGGAATGCGACAATCCTTGAGATGCGATTTATAATAAAAGAAAAAAATCATATCAAGGATTGAAAAGATTATTTTCGACACTAATGATAAATCTCAGCTTCGTTCCAATTTATCTTCAATTTATTTTGTTATACTGATTTTAAAGAACTCATTGCAGGCTGTCTATTAGAAATATAACACAGTTAAAGGGGCTGATTGCACTGAGTATCGGTTGGAAAATTCGTGTTAAGTGTTTCTACGCTTGGTAGTTAAAAAAAGTCATTTTAACACTAGACTGCAAAACAGTCGGTTTCTCTCAAAATCAGTAAAGAAATCGGTAAAGCGTGGCGTAAGAGTCTTACGCGCGCAAAGCGCGCGAGGCGAGTCTCGCTCTCTGTTCTCAGCCTCGTTGCAGACCTTTTGTTTGACTGTTCAAGCGTACTTGAATACGCGAAAATACAGACTGTTTTGCAGTCTAAATATAAGTGTTTTTACGCATCTCTTCTACCGTGAATTTTGCAATGCATGAATGCCATAACAAGTGATACTTAGAGTTAATTTATTCACGGTCAAAGTAACACGCCCTTAACTGACCTAAGAGAGTAAAGACCCCTGATAATGATATGACAGTTGTTAGGACGATGTATTTCGGTGTCAGTCGAGTTGAAATCTTTAGTATTGGCATTTTGGCCCATACAACTCTCTTTGATCCTGACTGGAAATTTCAATTTAGTGTCCGCGGGCAATATTTTTAGTCGGCTGACGGAATAAAGTGTGCTCATCATCAATTCGCTTTCTATGTCAATAGAACTTACTTAAAAATAATAACCATATCATGGAGTAAATTTGCAATTGATCAATTGTAAGGATTTTAATGAACATCGTAAGTTTGACCAAACAAAATTGCTCATCCTCTCCTCTCCTTTATCAGCTAACACTGTCAGGTAACAAATGTTGAAATCGTGAGTAACAACTTCCTTCACAAGCAAAGACAATTTAAATTAGAAATGGAAAAGAATGTCATACACTCACGCTTCTTCTTAATTATTTTAAATTGCCTTTTAAATTGGTCCTTAAAAAGCATAAAACATTTAAATTAGAAGAAATAGAAAAAAATTACAGGTTTTGGTGACAAAATTGGAACATGGCCGTACCTTCCTCTTTTCTTAATTCTCGCCGATGAGCAACATGATGCATTTTTTTCCTTTTCTTAATTCTAGCCATTATCGACATTGACTGGGAAACGTGTTATTCAAGTAAACAAATTTCAGGGATATAGAATGTATCTTCTTTGTAGTTTCTTGCTTAAGGAGAGAACCAGTGCATTGAAATTTGGGGTATGACAATGTTTCTTAACCATTACAGCGGATGGTCTTCTACCGTCACTTCACGTGACCACTCTTCCAGGGAAGAAAATAAAGATAAATATTTTAAAAAATGTGTTTAATCACCACATTCTCGCATTAAAAATGAATTACAATGTGTTTTTAATATGTAGAAAAATTACAAAAACCTTATTGGGACTGGGGTTTACAATATAATGAATAAAAGTAGCAGAGAGTAAAACCTAGTAGAATAACAAGAATATGGTTCACTCATAGTTACTGCGAAGATTATACTAATCTAAAAACAAATTGTAAACTAAACTAAGAATAACATTTAACTTTTAAAAGACGTTGCATGCGTTGGCCATCAGGATATTACTAGGGAAAAAGCTTCGCCTAAAACGCTCAGCTTTACATTTAAAAGACGACCAAGAGTTGGAACTTCAAAGAGAATACGTAGTCATGAGCGATAGTCCTAGTCTGGGTTACATGTTTTGGCAAGGGCCCACCTTTTGTAATTTTGCCAAAAGTCCTCATACAGAGTTCATTGCGCCTGTCCTCAAGTCTAGTGATTTTAGCAAGTTGTAAGGCTTCCTGGCAGTAAGATCGGCGATATTTGATCATTAAAGTACGCATTTGGACCCGCTCTATTTCACTAGACAGGTATGCGGAAAGGGCGTTTCATTTCATTTCAGACTGTCCTGCATAACCAAACCTAGAACCTTGTGTGAGCGAACTGTTTCGAGTACTTGACCATCAATTCTTTAAGGGGGTAACTAAGGGGTCTTCTTTAAAGAAACACACCCATAGCATACTTTATGAAGTGTAAACAGGAATTTTTTCGCTTCATGAAGTATTCTTTGTCTTGAAGACATCAACTAAAAAATCAATGCATACCATTTTCAGAATTGAGTAACAAAAGAAAAATTTTAAACATAAACTGAGGGAGTCCGAATTGCAAATCTAGCACTATTATTTAAGGGAAAATGTAATTGTTTGACTGAAAATGACTGATGTTTCGAGATATTTATATTCCTGTTTGCGCTTGGATTAAAAAAGGCAATCAAAAAAGTCAGCAAAATCTGTTGTACAACTTTATTATATTACTCATAACTAACTATGTGAGATATCAGAAGAGTAGTTTCTACTATGTTTGTTGGTTCGTTATTTTCCTTCTCGCTTTAACGCCTTAAAAAGTCACAACACGCACCGCTGTAAAAGAAACCTCTTTATGTCAAGTGCTTTACTCAACTTAATCGTGAAAAATAATTCACACTAGTCTTGTTTCTATTATCTATAGTGACAAAAATTCTTATCAGAGTTGAATTTTTGGACGAAAAAATAATTAATAAAAACAAAAACAATCAAAAGAATTGCCAAACACTTCCTTTTAAATAGACGCTGACCTAAGACTAACTGTCCTAGTGGCAGCTAGCAAATGTGCGTCGGTATCTGTCGTATCTTTCCAGTTTTCCAGGTTTTACTGGAACTCCTCCCAGCCGCCAATAAACATGATTTCTCGCAGTAACTGTTCCTGTTTCATCGGGATTTTGTTACTCAGGTTTTAGTGCTATCCACTTTGTTCCCCCTACAAGTTAAAAAAAAGTTTCAACATTTTTTGCGCTATCAAACTCGAATAAAGCGAAGAAATTAAAATCAGATTATTAAATGAGTATAAATACAAATAGTAAATTAAAGAGACAAATTAAGAGGTGAATTAAAAGTTAAAATCTGCTTTTCACGGAACTTTTCAGCTGGTATGTTCAACCACGTGATGTTCTCAAGAGAATTTGCCTTTTTTCCTTTCATAAATTTTGCACACAGACGTGTGCGGGGGTTCAGGGCGACGTTTGAAAGAAATAGTTTCCTGGCTTTTTTTAACCATTACTTGGTCAGAAGTGGGTAAAAACAATGTACAAGCTAAAAAGTTCTATTCGAGTGGGATTCTATACTTATTACCCCATTCATTTCATTTTTTTTTCCAATTTGTGAGTTTTTAGTCGACTTCTCTGCCTAGGTGTTTGTTCGCTCATTTTGCATTTTACACTGATAACTTTTTCTCTTTATGCGGTATTGTGCTATTCCGCATGAAAACAATGTTCGATTCCTGAACTTTGTGAATGGTATGACCCAGGGGTCATTTCACCCATCGTTAGGGTGAGTGGAGACTAAGACTAGCAGATTTCCACACAGCATCAACGGTCGATCCCAACGAGACTGACTAACCCGAACGATCACATCTAACTTAATACCTACAGTTTTTGCATAATTTTATTCTAAAAAAAATGATCGCTTGCTTGGCACAAGACCAAGTAGCGTTCCGAATATCGTTCACTCTTGACATCGGTTTTAAACCAGTTATGCGGTGAAGAGTCGCTCATTATATGAGCTCAGAGGCCTGGCCCATTTTACCGCGCTGGGTCGATTTGCCGATACCTCGTCACTTAAACTGAAGCGCGACAAAAATCGATCGATTAACTTGAAATTCTACCCTGCCCGGTTCTCTTAACAAGTTTTCTAGTGGCATTGTCTAGATATGCCTGGGCGTAAGGAGCTTCGTCGAGAAGGAATCTGGGTGCGAGATTTGCCAGGATCAGTGTGATACGGGGGCTCCGCGAAGGTGCGCTTTATGTAAATTAAGATAAAGAACAATTCGGCAAAGCAAGCCCGCCCGACTCCAGTAATGAGCCCTTGAATGAGAACAATTAACTTGCGTCATATAAAATGTGCAATACCAACACGGTCAAAAGAAGGTACCTCTATAACAGCTGCAACTGTCTGCAGACTCTCCTCCATCGTTGGATTATCATAACTGGTAATAGTCACCTTTTGGGAACCACTAGGTAAAGAGAAGAATTAACATTGATTAAACACGGCAGTAACTGAGAAAACTCCTCCTAAGTAGTAATGATCTTTACCGCAAGAAGCACAAAAGTGTCACCGCTTTTGATTCATTCATATTCTTTCGAACAGATCAGAAGGCAGCTGGAATCGGTCCTCGACTTCTGATTGGTTAACGTCCACACGAAAGGATGTGAGTTAATTAAAGGAGTTCACACTTTTGGGCTCTTTGCTATAAAAGGATCATCTGAACTAATCACTCTACAGAGAAATAACTGCAGTTCAATAAACACTTATTAAAAAAGGATTTCGACTCGAATCACGATTGTTTGTTGGACTGTGTGAATGGACCGACTTAGGTACTACGACTAACAAAATCTAGGAAGGAAAATAATGGCATCGGAAGAAATGTCTATAATTAATTGCTCGCGACATTTACTTAAGTCAGTGAAAGTATCTAGGTCTGTCGTATCGCTTATTCTTATTCTTAACTTTGCGACTTTTATGTTCATTGGTTGCCACCATCTTACCTAGGGTCTTCCGTAATAATTGCCTTCTGTTTGTTTTTACGCTGAAGACCTTCCTTTTTTGTGGAAGATTTCTTCCACTGTATATATATATATTTTTTTAATTTTAAGTTAGTGAAAGCTCTATTTTGCAAAAACAAAGCGGTTCAAAGAACATTCCAGTCGCTTTATTAATAGCCTGTGAATACAGTCGTTTGTCCTCGCTCCTCGCCGCGGGACAGAAATAGTTACCGTGTACAGCCCACCCCTCACATTTGAGGATTATTGGCTGGGTTGGTCAGCAAAACAACAAAAAAAGTTAACTTAATAGGCTAATAAACAGGTAGACGAAATTCCATGAGTTTAACGCAAACCAATGTTTATATAATAATTCCGGGTATCCATGAGGTTCCAAATGTAAATTTGCTTGATTTTATGTTTCTCTTGGTCGATTACGCTAAAGTTTTGTGTTCTGCTGCGAACGAGCTCCAGAAAAACTCAGATGCTTTTTCTAAAGAAGAATATATTCCAGGAATATTGACTGTTTTGTAGTAGATTCATCACGTTTACAACTCCGTTTAAATTTGACCTTTGTGGCCTTTTGTCTTTTGTCTGTCATTCAGTATAACTACGAGGCGATGTCGACCACTCAGAGCTCCTGACCAGATTTCGGACAGATTTTACGTCTTCAGTGTGGAATTTCTGTCGCTAAGGTGCAGACGTTCCTACTGGCGAAACGTTCCTAGCGGCGAGGAGCAAGAAGTAGCGGCTGTATTCGCAGGCTACTTTATCAACAGTCAAACTAACTTTTTTTGCGCTTTTTTTTTTTTAGCAGGGAGTTCAGTTTGTAAGAGCGTCTCTGGGATGTTTTTCATGGTCTTGGATAAGTCCGTATGCGTCACTGAACTGCATGACTGTTAAGGCAGTAGAAAAAACGCCGTAACGGTATCGTACAACTCATTACCCTTACGAAAGGAAAACATAATCAGGATCACTTTCATCAAGTATGATTATAGTTTAACCAACCTATCGTTAACGTTTGTTACTTCGCCTCGTCCTGATAAAGAGAAAACATTAAAAATTAGCTGTTATTGCAGTACATCTACATGTACTCCAACTTTAAACTAGAAAACACCAAAATGATATACTAAACACAAAAAGAATTCATGTACAAACTATTTTCCTAACCCTGTTTAGACCTAGTCTCCTCTGCAGGCAACTCCGCTTACACTGACCGCGAGTAGTCATATGACGAGAAAAGGAAAAAAAAACTGCGGTGGAGTTGCCTGCCAAAAATCGAAGGGTGTGGACCGCGCGCGTCCTTCACTCTTGTGGACCAATGACAAGACCCTGGCCTCTCTGGGGTTTTCGTCAGACAAATTATTACAAATCCAGCCCCCTAAGAAAACAAACTAAAAAACTATTAGCTCTTACTGTAGGTCATGGTCAAAGGCTTTTGTCTCTCAAAATTTCCCCACTATCCCGAACACAAATTGGATTTGTATGAGCTAGCCAAAATGCCCAGAAGGTCATCACCTTGTCGATATTTGACAGGCATCACTGTCACCCTCCGTTCTCTCCCCCATTCTGCCACTCTTTGTCTAAAACAAGACAGTGAAGCCTGCGGAGGAGGCTAGTTCAGAACGGCCTTTTTTTGATTAATAAATTCATGTCCAACATCTAGGCTTAACTTCAGTGACACAGTGACGTTATTTGACGTCATTATGACGTTCATATTGTTGAATTTATTAGTAGAATCCATATTCCCTCAAAGCGACATTGAAAATACTTAAATAGTTAGGTGTCTGATAAAACCAAGAGGATGGCTACCACATTTAAAATAAACTTTAACAATAGAAGTGATGTCATGTTGACGTCACTTATCATTAAGGAAGGAACCAAAACCATCGGCCGTCTTGGATCTGCTGTTTTGAATTGATTAGATGAACTTCATTTTAATCAAAAACCCGTTCAATTCGCCATGTAAATCGTCATAGAAATTTTGATCTGTGTAGGAAGCCAAAAAAAATCTGTAACGTTTGAAATAACGAGAGAAATGAATACTGTTGATAATTGAACCCAGCATCTGCAATTAGGTCATCCTAAAATTATGATTTGTTTTTTCTTTCTTTTTCTTTTTTTTCTCAAATTAGTCACTAAATGGCCTGGATCACACAAGCAGTTATAATTGACATAATGCTAAATTAAGTGTGATATAATCCCAAATAAGTAAAAATAGAAATAAAAACCTGTCTAATAGAACAAAATGCAAATGATACTCCAATACTCCAGAGACAGGCACTGTCAGTAGAATTCAAAACGGTTCAAATCTATTTTGAAGTTAGTTGTGATGTTTTCTTTAAGAGCTGTACTGAATAGGATGTCACTTCACAATGTTTAAACTGTTTCAGTTGGTCAAGGAAAGTTCGGTAAATAAATTAATGTACAACTGAATGCAAGGGTAAAAAAGGGTGTAACACGAGTTTCGCTGACTGATGAAAGCTTGCTTTCTGCCTCCAAGTTTGTACTATTTAATATATATTTTCTATTAACTTTTTATTTATCTCATCATGATGATGAGGAAATTTGATCATGTTGTTTGCCTGAAAAATTAAACAAACACTTGCATCCGGTAGTAGTTATTCAAATTCGTTTTTTGAAAAACAAGTGCATTAAACTCCATGTTTCAGTTGTTTATAATTTACTGCTTCGCGATGATGTATTAATTAGTCTGTGTATTTCGGAGTAAACAAACCTCGAGAGCGTCTCTTCAATGCTACAGCGGCAACTATCAGTAACACAACAGAGAAGCCGATAGTTACTCCTGCAATTATCCAGTGAACAGTACTTCTAGGGAGGCCCTGCTGCTTCTCTTTTACTACAAAATAGTTGTACATGTTAGTTGATTGGGTTTTTTTCAAGCATGTCCGTTTGTTGCAATAAAGTGTACAGCTATACATAATATCGCCTTAAACATGCATAAACTAGCGAAATTGTACCGTGAAGTTCCGAAAGTAACGAACCCGGCCCCGAAAGCAGCGATAAAATTTCAAAAGTGTGAAAATACCAAAAGTAGAGACCCTCCGAAAATAACGATCCTTCGCCTGAAAACAATTTCCCTTTTCACAAGAAGTAACGAAAATTAAAAATAAAACAAACTTTACCAAACTGATCCGAGGATTATTTTAAAAGGTTATAATGATCTTATCCGTGACACTCCTTCTGAGAGTTCATGTAACCAAAGGTACATTACATTATTTTCTTTTATTCCGAAAGTCTTCCTTTCGTTTTTTGAAAACCCATACCGTAATCAAACAGTTCTTTTGAATTTGTATTTAAAAAAGAAAAGACATGAAATAAGTTTCCCCAAGTAAAAAGTGTGGATGTTTTCACATTTGTCGCGATGTTATTACCGTACCTTTGTCGTTTGTACCACCCATGTACCGCACACGTCTTAGCTACCCGGAAGTAGCGACCTTCGCCGCTAAATCCGAAAGTAACGACGAACTCTTCAGTAGTATCACACAGCGTGAAGCATATGATTCTTCAGATTAAAAGACTTACTCTACCCTTACCCCCACTGTAAAACTGGAATTTACTGTGTGAAAGTCATAAACTCGATGTTTCGTAATGTGTTCTACAAGATTACTTTCGATTGCTATTTTAAAAACGTTTTGTGTGATGCTAAGAAACTACATGTTACACTTATTTAACACATTCTTATAAATCGCGGCCTAGACTATTGCTTTAGGGGTTTCATTACATTAGGCTCATCGAAAAATATCATCATTACAGGGCGTATAAGTGCTAATGTTAAACTGAGATACAAGCACTGTTGTTTTAGCAGCGCTTTGAACCATGTATTTAGTAATACGACCCTTCATTATGTCAGTCTCACGTGTCATCATGCCGAATTAAGGCCCTAGCCTTGAACGATATTAATTAGCTATTTAAATTAACATGAACGAATTATCTGGGGAAAGAATGTGGAGAAGAATATTTTATCAAGATCTTGAAAGGTTGCTTATAGGCATCAGCACATGAAGGGGAAGCCGTTACCTGTTGGTTCTTTTGTTGAAACCTCCCTCATAGTAAACTCACTGAAACCCACTACATTCCTTGCAGAGACTCTCACAATGTATTCGGTGTTGCTCTTCAACTCATCCATGAGACACATCATGGAACCTGTTTGATTTTCTATCCGCGTACAGTTTATCCACTCATGTGATTCTCCCTTTTCTTTAATCTGTACCATGTAACTGAGAATCGAAAATTTTGGTTTAGTGATAGACTCCTTCCAGTGAATTTTTAGGTTATTAAGACCTTCGTCAATTCGTAGTATCTCTGGGGGGTCTGGAACATCTGTGGAAAAAAAAAATGAAATCAAGGCTAGCATATGATTAATCTGCATGATAAAAAAAACGGGTGAATTTGCTTTGCCTCAATTAAGCAATTTCTCAAACGCGCATCATTCTCGAAGAATTTCCATAAAGTTTGTTTGAAATTTAATTTCAATGTGGAAAGGCACAATTTTTTCTCTTAATTGGTTAAAGCAGAAACTGTCGTTTTCCTGAAAAGTAAAAGAAATTCTTTAATTACGAGAGGTCGAGGATCCTTTTTACACACAAACACCGTACAAATAATCGCCTTTTCCTATCGTATATCAAACAAACAGGAATTCGTCAAGAAATTATGCCCGTCTTACAAAATACATACCCCTTGTGTCCAATTGAGCATTCCATACTAGTCTTTAATGGATAATAAGTGATATGTTTTAACTTTACCATAAAAAAGAACACGGGATATCCTTACTAAGTTGTTTAACAGTTACTTTGGCTTCTGCTGACCCAAGAATATTTTTTGCCATGCACACTACAACGTCAAAATCACTCGCTTGTCTGGGTGTGAACCTGAGAATACTGGTGCAGGAGTAACCTTGGACAGAATATTCTACTGCGCCATCATGACTCCATTTAATTTCTGGCAATGGAAATCCTGCTGCTTTGCACGTTAATGTAGTTTCATGGTTTAGCCAAGAGGTGATTTCCCTTGAAGGTCCAACATGTTCTATTTCTGGTTTATCTGAAAGACAAAAGTTGTAAATATTTTGACGGACATTTGTATCCGTTATCGTGTTTAGCCTCTAGCATGGTCAACCATCGATGGCTTTCTCTTCAGGAATCAGAAGTCAAATTAAGGGCAAACAATTTTCCGACTGTTGCCGGTTTGAGTTACCTGGAATTTTGGGAATTACAACCCGGTTTCGCGAAATCTGAATGCTACTCTTTATATTTGTTCACACTTACGATTTACTTTTATATCAACGTGAGCGGATTTAGGATTTGCGACGCCATTTGCTGCTGTACATCGATATCTTCCAGCTTTTCTTCTGTTGATACGTGGTAACGAGAGAGATTCCAAGTTAAGAGATTCCATACCATCCGATGAGTTGCCCAGAAATGTCCACGTGACCACTGGCTTTGGAATCCCCGATGCGTTGCAGAATATGGTGACGTTTTCAGTCTCGTTTACAGTAACCTCGTGGGAAATAAAGTCAATCGAAGGCGGGACTAAAACAAATTAAAGGCAATGTTAGCGATTATCCAGCTCTAGCTTTTTGGAACCGTGGAAAGAATTATGGATGGGATAATTTTAGTGCTGTTCCCAGTTTAATCCAATGATATCCTAAAAGAAACAGGCAATAAAACTTTCGACAATCCTAGGGCTACCAAAAAATGATAGACACTTCAAAAGCGGTCAACAGCAGTGCTATTAACTGATTACGCCTTATGTATTTGTTCCTTTCCTGCCTCGGGCCACCTCTAGAAGGAAGAGAATAATGTTTACATTACATGACTTTATACTTTCATATCCTTTTTAATCTTGAATCATGAAATCCTACCGTGTACCAGAAACAACAGTCAATTATAGAGCGTTTTCACATGACCTCACGGCGGCCATATTGGTGTTCCAAAACAAACAAACAGCACCATGTTGGTGTCACAATCAATCCCGTGAGAGTTGAACTCCTTTCTTATGCAAACGCCTTGTTTTGTTTCAATAAATTTGCACAGATGCTGGCTACGTGAGTAAAAACGCTCTATGATTTTCGGTTATGTTTTCGTACTGCAAATAAGGTTTTTGCTTTTTCTCAATATCCTAAGAAATTGCTTTCTTCACTTTGCTAGAGAAAGGTAAACCAATAAGGGTAAATTAGCCTCATTTTTTAAGTGAAGTTACCCAGACTGATAGATAAGGGTAATCGGTTTTGTTAAAGTTCTTGGTAGGGGTCAAGGACCAAACTTCATTCCTTCGTTCTTTTTCTTAAAAGCGCAGATAAACTGGACAGTGGAGTGTTAAGTCATTATTTAGGCTCCTTGGCAGGCTCTACAAAGTAGGGAAATGAAGTGGGAGTATTAGCCTCCCCTCCCTTTCCCATTTTTTATCTCCTGTCCAGCAGCTTAACATATACCTTGTACAGTAAGGTTGACAGTTGCTATCGGGCCGTATCCAAACATGTTCCATGGAACACATTCATAGGTTCCACCATAAGACGTGTTGACGTCTTGAAGAGTGAATGTGTTGTTTTTGAAGAAACCCAACGACACATCGTTCAAGCGGATTTCCAGGTTTGGAGGTGGGTTACTCTCAGCAGTACACGAAAAAGTTACAGAGTTTCCCGCTATCACTCTGTCATCTTTGGTGTATGATCTTAGGCGAGTTTCGACTGGTTTGTCTGTTGAAAAGACACAGGAGTATAAATATAGCCAATCACAATCCATAAGGTGGTGTCTTGGTTTACTATTCCCAATGAGCCAAGAATGTTTCTGAATTTCATATTAACTGGCACACAAACCCAATTAGCCCAGAACACTTAATGAAATAGAATGGGATCTTTTAAAAGTGTAGTCGACCAGTAAATATGCCTCTCCGTAAACTGCCACTTCTAAGCCCCCCCCCGGTTATAGGTCCACCTACATGCAAACAAAAAAATACATCCGATTAAGAGCCTATCCGGATATAAGCCCCCCTCCAGTTTTTCTTTGTTTTATTGTTCTCTCATAGAACACTATTACTTCAACAAATAACTGGAAAAGATTACGGAAGAATAACTTTATTACCATTTTATTATTAACAATCTTTATATCTTTATTTCAACATTTCGCCAAATTTTTTGAAGTAACTGTTTATTGTTCTCCTGTAGTGTCACAGTGCGTTTCACAAAACTTATGACAAACTGTTTCCGTTGTAAGAGTAATAAATTTAAATCATACGTCGATCAACAGTGCTGTTGCTCATTTTGAAACGTTTTTTTTTTCGTCCGCTTATAAGCCCATCCGGATATAAGCTCCCCCGTTTATAAGCCCACCCAAAACCCCTTACGAACTTGTATAAGCCCAGGGCTTATAAGCAGCAGTATACGGTAACACTCAACAAACCCATCTGCCAGTCAGTCTTATGTCTTCTCGCACAAAGTAAGTCATCTGATTAGAGATCATTTCACGCTAACCAGTAAAATTAATGGACCTCATATTTAAGTTCTGGAGCGAGGGAAACCGCGCATATCACACAAAATGAGAAAATGGATCAAGAGAGAATGAAAATAATGGAAAACAAACTTACAATTGAATCTTACTGAAGATAGTGCAGTTGCATCTCTTCCAACTCCGTTACTAGCTCTGCACTGATAAATTCCAGAATGGGTTTTGTTCGCTTTATATATAGTAAGAACACCGTCAGGTGAGTCCAGAGGTGTAGAGTCTGGTACTTTAGTCCACGTGATGAATGGCCGTGGATTACCTGTCGCGTAACATTCTAGACGCAGTTCCCCAGTTTCGTTCAATATTTGAGTACTGGTTCTCCTAACGATAGTAGGTGGATCTAGGACAGGGAAAGTCTTGAGATCAACATTTTATTAAGTAACGAAAGTATAGCCTGTTTAAGGATTCAGTCTGGTACTTTAGTCCACGTGATGACGGAATGGCCGTAGATTACCTGTCGCGTAACATTTTAGACGCAGTTCCCCAGTTTCGTTCAATACGATAGTAGGTGGATCTACGGACAGGGAAAGTCTTGGGATCAACATTTTGTTAAGTAACGAAAATATAGCCTGTTTAAGAATTCAGTCACAAGGTGAAGGAAAATTGTAAAAACGGAAATGCGTTGCTATCGAATAACGGTCCTCAGCGTGTAGTGTCGGGTCTCAAGGGACTTAATGTAGGATAATTAGATGCGAAATGAGCGTTAACACTCTAAGAAAAGAGGAACTTGATTTGCAAATAGGACAGTGTAGAACGGACTAGTAGGAGGACTATTAACGGAACTAAGGGCGTATAATGTAACCGTTTATTGAGCTCGATTCGCGAATTCACAGAGTATTTGTCAGTCAAGAACTGCTGGTTCGGCGCTGCATGGACAATGTAAAAAGGCCTCGTTAATTATTCCTTCTGGATGATCTGAAGAATTATGTAGCTAGTAAATTACGTGTGGTACAAAACCTCCATGTTGGGGACGCCATGCTGGGGCGCAAGAAACGTACTGTGAAAACAGTTTGTCTCGTCCCAGTGAGTTTTCGTACCACGTGACTGACCTGCTGCAAAGAGCCTATTACATTTCCAAATGACTTTTAACTTTGGTTTAGTTCCTGACTTTGATAGAGATTCATGTTAGGCCGGAGAACGATATCAAGCCAAACAAAACAATTTCATTCGTCCTAAAACTTCTTTGAAACATTAAAATATCAGCTAAAACTTACAAATGACATTGATGTAAATAGTAGCAATCGCCTCTTTTCCTACACTGTTTTTGGCGGTACATTGGTATTTGCCAGCTTCAGTCCTCTTTATATTCGATATATTAAGCACTTGACCGGGTGGATATGAACTGTTGTTGAAACCATTTATCTTTGACCACGTGACAATAGGAGGAGGTCTACCATCACTGGGACAAAGAAGCCTTGTATCAGCGCCTTCAGTAACATTGTATGACTTTGAAGGTAGACTGATTAAAGGTGCATCTACAATGATTTCAAAACCACATTTCTTAAAGACCTCAAGGAAATGACAGCATATTAACAACATACTTAAAACTGATTTGATACTACCGCTTAAGTTATTTACGACCTAAGGTAGTCTCTCAAGAACAATGTTCAAACGTTTATTCATATCCAGTTCAGTAACGAGCGCTAGCGGTCTGATATAGAAGTATTTTATTATTCACGCAAAATGTTTCTCCGTTTCTGATTGGCTCAAATTCCACGGGTACTTCTTCATAACCCGAGCTAGCGTTGTTCAAATTTGGAAGATGTTTGCGATATGTGGAAAATGACGACAGTAGTTCAGCATAATTGTCAGAAAAGTGGACTGGCAATCGAGAAGCCCTGGGGACGAGGGTAGAACAGTACAAAATGGCAGAACATTTTACTCGTTTCCCGAAGAGGAAATAACCGAATTACGACCTAGAACATAGCAAGAACAGCAAGAATGCAACTCGACGGAAGACATCTGCTATTTTGAACATCCCTTTATCTTCCAAACTTGCCGAGAAGCGGAAAATGGAAGACGGAAACGTTACATCTACCAAGGTAAGCATGTTTTAGTTTGTTTTTAAACTTAGAATTATTTTGAATGAATAATAAAACAATCATTAGATTCGGCTTTCATGTCATCTGAAAAATTATGGAGATCGAGGAGGCTGTTGTCAATAATACCACCCTCGATCTCCATAATTCTTCAGATCATTCTCAGCCTCATTCTATAGTTGTTAAATATTATATTGAGAGTCACCATAGCAACACTTACTTCTCAACTCCTTTAATTCTGGAGCCATCCAGGTCATAAACACCTAACATCAGACTTTACTGCCAACGCCTCAGTGGCATTGTGGCGTTAAAATTAAGACTTTGACTGGGTTCAGCGAAAGATGTTAGCTGTTAGGTGTGACTGACTAACGGATAAGTAATTAAAATGCTACTCGGGCCCCTGCATAATAAGTACTCGACCTCCCGTGGCTATTAGTTTCCTAAAAAGGGTACAGATCTTTCCCCCTCGGTTTCAAATCTTCAATCTATCATTTCCAATTTTGCTTTGCCATTCCAAAAAAAAAACAGTCAACTCATAAAAGGCCATAACTATTTAGTTGCATAACAGGCATAAGATTCGGATCCTTGTTGGTTTTGTTCTGTTCTGTTTTGTTTTCCTTTTCCATTGATGAAGAGAGCAAAACAAAACAACCATAACTAACATGCAAACAAATATATTGTAACGAAAAAGGTCCTATCGTGAAGTCTAAGCTGTATACTTACTATCACATTGCAATCTGAGAAGACTTCAAGATACACTTACAGTTAACAGCGATCGTGACAGAAGCAATCGCATAACTAACATTATTTTTCGCAGTGCACGAGTAGGTCTCTCCATGTTGCACTTTGCTAATGTTTATTATGGACAGAATTGTTCCCAGATGCTTCCATTCCTTGTTTCCTCGTTTGGTCCAAGTCACATCAGGGGGTGGTTTGCCAGTTGCGTTACATGAAAGTGTCAAATTTTCATTTTCTGTCGCCGTTTGGTTACTTGAGATAGAAATTATCATGGGGCGCTCTAAAAAAGATTTTAATAGAGGTTAGGGGATTGAGTGATGAAGAAAAGGCTTCTACACTTGTAGATGTAAAGATTAATCTTATATGACAGTGACGTGTACAGATGTATACGTTTTTTATGAGCTAAAAAGCAGTTTCAGTTGAAAATGAGTTGCACAAAACTCGCTTAGAATGAAGATGAGCATTTGCATGTTGAAAAATAGCTCGTTAACCAAGAACTATGAACGATGTTGTTTTCAGTTAAGAGGAAGACTACTGATCCAGTTAAATAAATGATGAAATTCTTGCCAAGGTTTCCTAACTTCGAGGACTGTTTAAAGGTCATTGAGTATGCACGAATTAACACACCGAAAGTGGCTTAAGCGCAGGAATTAGTGTTCTATGAGAAATCTCATTCGTACGTTCGAATTTGAGGGGTCAACAACCCTGCGTGTAGAATATCATACGCACGCACTTCCCAAAAGGTATGGTGGCAACATTTCTTTCAAGTCTATTATGCTTTTCCATAAATTCTAGCCGATCCAAATCACATTAGTTTACCCGAAAAAAAAAGAGGCGTTCTGCCCTCTGGAGACGATTAATGAGCAAGAATGAAGTAATATTAAAAACCACTGCTTAAGTTCTAGATAAAGCACTGTGTGTCATTTACATGTGGAGAGACTCACCTAGTATTTTAAGCTCCACGCAACTCCTTCCTTTTTTGCCATTGGCTGTGAGAATTCTACAACAATATTCAGTGGCATCACTTTCCTGAGCATTTATTAACATGAAGGATGGAATTGCATGCTTCAACATTACAAATTTCTCGTTAAAATGCGTCTTTTCATTATTGCTGGCCACGTACGAAATCACTTCCTCCATTTCATTGTTTTCTCTTCTTTTCAATAAAAACTGAGAAAGTCTGTCACTAGCATTGAGCCTGTATTGCCATTCTAAAGTAACGTTTTCATCGCGGACTCCGAATGTTGGATTACGTGGCTGGTTTACCCAAGTTATATCTTGACCTAAAAACACAAACGTGAAAATCACTTAAGAAAAGGGTATGATCATTCAAAGAAAATGTTACACACTGAAAGTGAAAAATCGTAAGTTAGTTGCATTCTATAATTATCAGGGTTACAATTAGTGTTGATAATACGAATTGTGTAGGCGTAGTACAGTAATGAGCCCTTA